AATACTTATTTTTATTATCTATATAAAGATAAGATGACGCTAAAATTTTATCTAGATAATCATCTATGTAATTTTATTTAGATAACAGCAAACACTGGGTATAAAAGAGTTTATCCTAGCGTGTAATGAAACCCTTATCGAAGCCTGTGACGTCACGAATGCCGTAATTGTCAAAGCCTTGTCGTTGCGGATGCAGCAAAGTCAAAACTCTGCGCTTCTCACTCCTACGCACTCTAATTTAGCTAGTCAAGTTAGCGCGCGTGATTACCTTCCGTTCCCGATTCTTCTGCATGCAGAGTCTCTTCCTGCGACAATTGTTCCTCCACCAAATTCTTCGTCTGCGTCTCTTCCATTTTCACCTCCTCGGCTTTCTCTTTCGGAGGCTTTATCTTTTCGACCTTCTCATCTTCCGTCTCAGCTACGGAAGTACATTCTTTCGAGTCTTTGCGGTGACGTGTTTTAAGACGCGATGTGTCAACATGTTATGACATTTAGAGATTCAAAAGAATTAAGAAAATTTGAAGAATCTCGGATAGCAACGCAAAACTGATCTTGTAATAATCTACAAATGAATCGAATACAGAAGGAAGAAAAACAGAGAACGCATTTTGCGTCAACGTCAATAATGTGACGCGTCGAAAATGGTGTTCCTCCCTTTCGTTTAAGGAAATCAGGAGAATTCTTTCTACACACAGATCTTTTACACAACTACAGAAACTATGGAAAAAAAACATCTATTAGAGGCCGTCGATTAAAGGCCTTGTCGTTAAAGGCCGTGTAAAAAATGCCCAAGATATCACTTTGGGAGAACGTATAAGTGAAGAGGAAACGTACGGCTTTATAATACATTTAGTACTTACTGAACGTTGTCGAAACACGACGACTTTAACCGCTGCGATTTCTCAAAAATTAGAAATATATGCTGTTTATTGCTGATCATCGTTCCGACATGTATCACGGTATCAGACTGTCGTAAGATTTTCTTAACTCTACCAAAATTATCCTCGTGTTTAGCTCTAGAACTCGCTTGTAATATCAAACGTGATTTCTCGGTTCTAAAAGAAATATTGCCGCTCTGCAAATTGTGATATACCGATCGTTTTGCCATCGTGTTGCGCTAATATATTATTTCGTTATTCTTTTTATACCAAACTTGACACTTCGCGATACGACAATTTTGTAGCCAGATACAAACTCGCGTTGAACGGAGTCGAGTTCCAGAGCTAGGGAAGAAGATGAAGAGGCGCGGAAACTTACTCATCACGATAACTTTGCTCTTGCTGGAGACGAAGCCCAGCTCGTTCTCCGCCCGCACCTCGTACAAGCCACCGTCACTGCCCTTCAGCAACGTCACCGTTAAATCGTAGCTCTCGTTGCGCTTGCTATCCCTGGTGATCTTGATTCTGGCATCTGCTGACACCTCCTCACCGTCCTTGTACCACTTGACCTCCGGATCCGGCGTGCCGGACACCTCGAACGTCAGCTTCAGCGTCTCGCCCTCCTTCAGTCTCTGGTCCGCCAATTTCTTCAAAAGCTTCGGCCGAGTATTCACCGTCAGGTTGGAACTGCTCGAGTTCTCGCCATACTCGTTCTGCACCTTGCAGGTATAAGTGCCCTTCAACTCGGTCTTCACCTCCTTGATGATAAGTTTGTAATTGTCGCCTTCTTCTACGCGAGTGTACTCCGTGCGCTTCTCCGTGATTTCAACGTCGCCCAGGAACCAATGCACGCTCGGTTTCGGGAAGCCCTCGACCTCAACTATGAATTCAACGTTCAACTCGCCCTCGTTCGCGCTGATGTCGCACAGTTTCGTCTTGAACCTCGGTATACCGCGCACCTAGCGATAATATCGTGAAGAATCACGCAATTAAATAAATAATTGCAGAATTTACTGTTAAATTTCAAATCAATTTTATATTTATAAAAGATTTCAAAATATATACAGATGACAGGAGCAAAGTACATACCCTGACTCTCGTCTCGTCTGAGATGGTCCCATGCTTGTTTATCACCTCGGCCTTGTAAACCGCCGCATCTTCCACCTTTGCACCGCCAACCGTGAGTATATAATTATTTCCGTTTTTCGTCATCTTCGTGCGGTCGCTCGCGGTCAAAAGCTGCCCGTCCTTGTACCAGTTGACTGTAGGTTCCCCGTCCGACTCCACCTCGATCAATAGGTTCAACGTATCGCCCTCGTTGATTACTCGTGGCTCGCCCAAGCCCTTCTTGATCTTCGGCGGGCATCTGATGCCGACTTTCCAGATCTCAGTCGTCTGATTGACGTCATTTCGCGCGACAATCGAATACGAACCGGCGTCGGTCAATTTGGCGTTTTTGATCACAAGCTTGTATGTGTCGCTACCCTCCTTGACGATCTTGATACGTTCGCTCTCTTCGATCAGTTGACCGTCCTTGTACCAGGTCACTTCCGGCGCCGGGGTGGCCTCCACTTGCACCGTCATCGTGCCGGTCTCCTCGATGAGGATTATCATATCTGACTGCTTCTTCGTGACCTTCGGCGCGGACTTGACGATCAGCTCGATCTGCGTGCTATCCTCGCCGAGATCATTTTTCGCCTTGATGGTGTAAACGCCAGCGTCTTTAGCGGTGACCTGTTTAATCACCAATGACAAGGACTCCTCGTCTTCCCAGAGATACTTGATTCTACCACCGGCTATGATCTCCTGCCCATCCTTGGTCCACTTGATGTCCGGCTTGGGATAACCCTTCACCTGCAGATCTAACATCGCGGAGCCACCGGCGCTCACCTCGGTCTGCTTCGATTCTGTCTGGAGTTTCGGCTTTTCTGGGTCCTTCAACAATTGATTCACCGCACCCTGCACCGTCAGTTCCGCGCTGCAGCTAATGTTACCTACGTATTCGAGAATTTTCATAAGGTAATGTTAATATAATATATTCGTGGTGGCAATATTGAGTTAATATTATTAATTATCACGTAACGTTAATGTTTACCTGTGCTGGTCTGTGCCACGCACGTATAAAGACCGGCGTCCTCAGGCTTCACATGCTGGAACACCAGTGCCAGTGTGTCCTCGTTATCCTTGAAGAGAACCTTAAATCTCTCCTCAGGATCGAACGTCTGTCCGTCGCGCTTCCAAATAAATCGTGGCTCGGTTCCAAGCTCGAGAAGACCTTCGGGAAGACCCTGGAAGAGTGGCTTCTCGTCTGTCACCGTCACGATCGCCTCGCACGTAGCCTCGCCGTAGCGATTCATAGCCGTGCAGGAATACTTTCCAGCGTCCTGTTTCTGAACGTCAGCGATAACCAACTCGTAAAATCCCTTTTCGGCGTTGTCCCGGATAATTTTCACGCGTTCGTGCTTTGCGTCGATCAAGGTGCTGTCCTTGAAGCTGAGAACAATTTTTTATGTATCACTTTTTCTCAGACAACACACATTTGAAATAGATGTCCCAATTTTTTCGGATTCTTTCTAATGTGCATGTCTTAAAAAATTTTGCTATTTAAGTTAAAAGAGTTCCCTGTTCTGTTTCATTTAAAAATAAATTTTAATCTTTATTTTTAAAATACAGAGGAAAAAGTTAAGTTAGAGTTATGAAAAAAAATAACTGTAACCGTAACTTTGTTACAAGGTAACGAGTCACTTCCCAAGCCTAGTAAGATAGTAAGTTTTCAACGTCCAAGTTGAATCGCAAATCCTTTTTCGCAACGATTACACGATCTAACAATAAATTTTCCACTAAACAGATTTCACTCCAAGGGCAATAAATTCATGGTGGAACCAACGGACAATGCTTATTAATTTAGTAGAAACCCCGCTGTCTCATATTAGGGGCCTATCTCATAATAGAGGACTCTCCTCTATAAATTTTACAAATAGAGTAGTCTCGTATTAAAGAAAGTTTGAAGCTTACAATTTTATTTCCGGATTAGGATCTCCCTTGACTTTAATCATGAAACGTAGATAGGTGTTCTCGAGGAGCTCGGTGTCCTTCAGACGCACCAAAAAGATAGGGCCGTTCGCTTCTGCTCTTGCCTTCTTCTCCTCCGGGCTCACTACGATGTTTTACATCAGTTAAGAAACCCAAATTATTCGCCGTGTTTGGAATTAACATCATAATATCGTACAACTTACATTTTTGAACCACCAATTGGGCGGTGCACGTCGCTTCACCGTTTGTATTCAGGGCACGCGCGATGTATATGCCGGAATCCGACTCGTGAACGTTCTGAATTTCAAGCTTGCACGTGTTGTCGGCCAGCGTGGTGGTGACGCGATCGGCCAGCTTGTCCTCCATCGGCTTATTATCCTTCAACCATTGTATTCTGGTGGTCGAGTCGCTGGTTAACATAGTGCACTCGAAAGTGGCAACTTCCCCGGCTACAAAAAAGCAATTCGAATTAGCGCGAAGCAACGATGCGCCGTGATTCCGAGGGGAATGAGAATGGTGAGAAGCGAGTCCGTCAATTCCGATACGACTGTCCTGTATCTAAAATATTCGAAATAAATAGCGTCGTTATACTTTAATGCGATTCCCTTCTGCGTCGAAATAGGGAGGGGTACAACAATGATTCCGAAATGGGGTTTAACGTAGTTATTAAAAGTACGACAACATACGATCTGACTGTTACATGTACATCAAGTGTGATCGACACACGACACTGCTCTTGACATCGTGATTTATGAATATATGAATGTGCATCGGGTAACAAACTTTAAGAGACGAAAAACATTGCCATTTGACATCTGACAAAGAACTCAATTTGCTATAAGAAACCTGGCGAATATAACATACATATACATAGATATATATTTCTAAACAAATGCCTTGATGTCGCTGTACGATTGAAGAAGCAATACAGTGTGGAGATATGTCGACTGTCTGTAAGTGTAGAGGTGATGTCGGTATCAGAATAACGTGTGAAATGTAAGTGTTTAGTGTAGATATTGTGTATAGCGAACATCTATGGTTTAGCGGTGAAGCATGTTTAACCAGCCACGTAATATTACGCCTAAAAGCGGTTTGCTCTATTGGCTATAAGAAGAACACGAAAAGATACATGGAAGAAATGTAGAGAAAGTGCTGATAAACTAAAGCAAAGTACGTGTCACTTTACCTATGGCGTGTATCAATGCCTTTTTTGGTCGCATCGCTAAAACAATAAAAATGTATCTTATGCCTTGTGATAATCGAAGAGAGAGGTGTATTAGCCGATCATTTAAACGCTACTTTCGCACGTCCCGGATTACAAGTTAACGATAATAAAAGCGAGACTATATTTCGCGCGGTTAAAGAAAGATCTGGGTGAAAAAGTTTCAAGACGGGGAGGGGTTTTTCAATTTTCCAGACAAGGGAGGGCTTCTCGGTTTTTCGTCTTGGAAACTTTTGTTATCCAAATTTTTCTTTAACCGAGCGAAGCAGCCCGCTCTACCCTGTAATTAACAATATTACAACAATAATGTGATTCGGGGCTTTAATGTCGCACACTTACGTTCCACACTGCATCCCTCTATCGTCTTGATAAACGCCGGTTTGCCGACGTCGGTGTCAAGAGCGATTCTGGCAGTTCTGCTTTCGACGTGCGAATCCGTTGCCATACCACCGGCGATCGCAGTCTCGTAGGAAGTCGTGGTTTCTGACATCCGACCCATTCCTTGCGACGAGGAAGACATTCTCGTCTCGACGGCGGACGCCGCCGATTCCGTGAAGGAGGACACGCCATGACGACTGCTCGATATCGATGAATACTCTACAGGGATATTAGTCGGGGACTACCTTACTGCTTGACATATAGTACGTTCGCAGGACTCGGATTAAAAAGCTCGAAATTATTCTCTTTCTCTGCGAGCACCATGCGAGATGGCGCGAGATTTACCACTGTGTTTCAACACAGCGCGAGACACGGGTCCTCTTTTTTTTGGCCGACATTCTTGAATTTGACAAGTAAACGAATGTATAATAAGCGTTGCAGCTACACATTTTCGGCGCAACATCGATTTACATCGCCAGCTTTAACGAGCTTCCGCATGCGACACCGAATTAAGATAAACGATTTCTACCGACATGAGTACTTGACGATTCCATTAACACACTCTCTCACCTTCCACGACTTTCGCAGAGGCGCTGTATCGACTCGCAGAATATCTTCGGGACATGTCTGCTTGCGCTTCTTCGACCCTAGTCTTCTTTACCTCCGACGTGTCTGTTGCGCCCACGGAATCCTTCCTCTTCTCCGCAACTTTCGTGTAATCCTTAATATCTGCGCCCGCCTTCGCTTCTTCCTTCGGGTTACCCTGGACTTTGGGCAAAGGGTTCGCGGGCTGCGGCGGTTCGACCTTCACCGGCGCCGGCTTCTCGTCGCTCTTGGGCTCTTCCTTGCCTTCCGGTACTTCTTCGGTTACTTGAAGATCGTCCGCTGCGTGCTCGGCGAGAGCGACCAAATCGCTCGCGTACTGACGAATTTCCTTAAGCCAGCAGGCTTTCACGGGATCCTTGTGAGCCACTAAAGTAATTGGGTAATTGGATACAGCCGGATTGTGCAGTTCGAAAGATCGTACGTCGTCGGGATGGTCCTTCACTTCCACTTCCGGCAACTGAAACGAAGCGATCGAATTTATTATCTTGTCTTACGCGCGCCATTGCAAATGTCGCAATCATCTCTTACTCGAATAATGTCTTTTAAGATGAAAACTGATCTATCCTCCGATATCCGTCTGACTTTGCAAATGAGAATTCGTGCTTTGAACAGAAACAAGTATCTTTCTTTGCTCTTTCCTTCCTTATCAATAACCGTGTACCATTCCTGAAAGCATAAAATTTTTATCTAATCAGGAATTTAATGTTTTACGATTGTTAAAATCCTACTCGTTTCTGTCTAATTATCACAAGAAAAGATCAAGTTCGTAGGAAGGGATTTGTCTCGATTTTTCATCCTTCCGCATTTTCCAATTCCCTTATTAGCTTCTAACACACATATACCTACGTGCGTGAGTAATCTACCAAGTTTGTGAATGTTTCCCTTGTATCCCTCGATATTGCTTATGAATTTATTGTCGGTCGCCCTATGGGGGATTCCTAGCATCAACTCTAGCGCCTTCTGCAAGTCGTCGCAGTTTTCGCCTAATCGGGTCGAATACTTCACCAGCTCCTGCAAAGGCAACACGCGCGCGCAAATGCGCTAATTAATTTCTTCCTGTATAAATGCAATCGTCCCCGTCACAAATTCAACAACTCTGTCGCGGAGTAAACCGAGATGAGACTTATATCAGTCCGTCTACGATCCCACGAATTCACGCAACGTCGCGACTCTCATCCTTGGACCGATTTAACTCGTACACTTCGATACGATTATTACCGTCGCAACTTTCCACGCTTGCACCTGTTTCGTGTTAGCATAGAGTTTTTCCATAGAGCTAAATCGTGACTCGATGGATAATCTGCTGTATAGACGAATGCGCGCTTTTAGCTTGCTAAATCCGTACGACGCCCACACATTTCGTACAGACACAAACGCGAAGCGTTCTATAGCGTCGTTTTTATATAGAGGACCCAGATTTATCGAAAGACACATTCTTCGACAAATCCGGCGCGATGCCTTTTTAACACGAACATTTCCGGCGGTGTCTAATTACGTTTTATACGAGAGGACGAAAGAATTTTTAATCGCGGGAACGGAAAGAATTTAACGGGGGTAGTGCGATTATATTTACCTCTAAATTTAACGTTCTAAATTTAAGAAACTTGTTGATGCCGAAGTAATAATTAACTGCGGTATTATTTCAGACTCTCTTCCAAATGTTTACTACGCTTATTTTAAAACACATAGTCGTTAGAGCGGCGGCGGTGCTATCAACAAACAATGTATAGGCCAAAAGCTATTAACTGCGGTTCGTTCTTGCTCATACTTCAATGTAAAAGTTGCCGCCTTCACGTACATTCTCCCGGGCAGCTGGCCCACTTGCTAATAATCTACTTGGCTTAGAATGTCGCGACGAACACTGTCTAAATACTTGAACAATCTCGACGTACAAATTGTTGGATTTAGAATCCTCTGTACTAGTTACACGGCAAACATTAAGTGCAAATAGAAATGCGTGTATAATTAATTTCACATTCCTGACAGGTGCGCATTAATTTTTTTTTGAACGATTTAAAACAACGCGGACGATTCGCGTCTCGATCTGCGACGTACACTTCGAATGAATGGCTGCGATAATTATGTCGAGGGGACACGATTTCAAGGCAAAGTGGAAAGCGCTTTAGCGCCGCGCTATTTCCGTCTGGCGCAATAAAATTCGAGTGGAAATATAGGTCGCGCTGTATGTCTATGCACTCAGTTGTCTCGTATTGTTTCGTTACGCGCCGATTTCGTCAGCTAAGAAAACAGTGGCGAGTGTGCAACATTCTTGCACTCACTTTAAAAAAATCTCGTTTCGAATCTAATCTCTTCGAAGATCCTGTCCAAAGTTCGCAAGTTAATGAGGAGCCTCTGTTGTTTCGCGAGTGTTGGCTTGAGATCATGAGACAGATTCCTGTGATCGCAACGAAACGAAAGTGAAACGTTGTTTTACGTACCTTTAACAGGAGCTGGTAGTCGTTTATGCGTTGTATCGGGAGCTTCAGATGTTCCGATATACTCTTGTCGTCACCCAGAGTCTGACTCAACTCCTGCAAGAAACGAAGCGACGCACAGTGGTCAGTTTGACCGATCTGAGCGGTGATAATTATTAAAGTATCCAAATCGACCTTTATTTATAGAAATACGTATATACGTTTATTTAACGTTGGAATTAAATAATATTTACACAGAAATAAAAAATAAAACTCAATTTTATTACAGCTTTTAACGCGTACTTATAAACAACAGGCAAAAAAATTTTTTTGTTATATACATAAAGAGTAACAATTCTAGAATATATAAAAATTAAATGATACATATTTAGAATTATTAAACATATATTTTGTCAACTTGGAATAACAATATAAAATAGTGAGAAAGTTCTAATCACTGTCAGTGTCGTAATTTAGATTATTAATAATAGTCGTCGAATGATGCAGCTTTCAGCAGAGCTAGCTAGCACTTCCTTGGGTAATGTAGCACTTCTTTTGATGTCTTTGCTTCTTAAACTTGTTATTATGGGATCTGACGAAATAAGAAACATGTGAAACATATCTTCTATAGTCTCTTTTCTAGAAAATTTTCTTGAATGAAACTCTCTGTATCTTTTAACGTCCTTATTCCGTGCTTCCTGAGCTTCTTCGGACATCAGTCCAATTGGTAAAATTGCTGTGTTAATTATTTTATATTGTTATTCCAAGTTGACAAAATATATGTTTAATAATTCTAAATATGTATCATTTAATTTTTATATATTCTAGAATTGTTACTCTTTATGTATATAACAAAAAATTTTTTTTGCCTGTTGTTTATAAGTACGCGTAAAAATCTGTAATAAAATTGAGTTTTATTTTTTATTTCTGTGTAAATATTATTTAATTCCAACGTTAAATAAACGTATATACGTATTTCTATAAATAAAGGTCGATTTGGATACTTTAATAATTATCACCGCTCAGATCGGTCAAACTGACCACTGTGCGACGGTACGAATGATCGGAACGTTCGGTTTCATCAACATTTGGTATACAGACAAAGTGAATGCGTAAATTCTGAATAGAAAACAAGTTCCCTTAATTAAAAACGTTAATTGGTTCACATCTTAGCCTCTCTTCACCGAGATTTCGAGAGTCCCTTCATTATTCTTTCGCAATCTGTCCTGTGCGACCTCGGATCGGAGCATACGTTTATCTACTTACAACCCTCTCCTGATAAATTTAATATCGAACTCGAGTAGTGTCTCTCGCACCATACACTGTCATCGATATTTTCGCATCTCTCAGCTTCACGAAGCGCGACTCGTAATTAGAACGATTGCGAGATTAAGGGAAATGAGAGGTCACAGCGCGGTTTCTGGGCTGACAACGAAATCGATGCGTTTCAACGGCGGTTCTCGCGTCGCAACGCACGAATTTGCCGACACCGTAATTCGACACCGGGGGGGAAGATTTGGCATGAACACGCGTATTTTTGGACGTGTGACTGGATTTTACATGCAAACGTGTGTGTCACCCCCGCAGAGCGCGTGGCCACCGCGTTCGCACGTTGGGCCGACGGCGACGCGCGATTGACGTATCGCGGGTACCGCGACACTTGGAGAACGAAGAACGCAGAACGGAGAACGCAGAAACTGCGTATCGCCGTCGGGCCGCGCACCTTGAACGAGGAGGGACCACCCTGAGATCGCTACCCGGTCGTGGTATTTCGTCGAGGACCCCTCGGTGGTTGCCGCCAGGGGTGCCGCGTGGCTGCTCGCAGACGCAGACCGCGCACAGGAGCCCGGCTCCTGCGATCAGATTCCTTGGATCGCGCGGAGATTCTCACACACGGACGGTGTGGTGGTCAGTGGGTCCGCGGTACTGAGGAGGAATCTTCGGGCGCTCGCAGCCGCCGCTGCGGCACACTCGGAAGACCAATACGGCAACGGCTATACTTAGACGTCGGACGATTTCGTGTGCGACTGACCACGCGCGAAAACAACACCAAGATTACGCGAGGATCATCGATACACTCGGTCCCGAGATCCGTCCTCCTCCCGCGCCTTTTGGACGGCCATTTCTTTCCCTTTATTCGCCCTCTAATACGTAAGGGACGCGCCAGTTATCCGCGGAAGAAGCCGCAGAGAGGCGATAAGAATCTGAAATATCTTGCTCGATTAAAATAATTTTTCAGGCAAGCAGATGAGTCTCATCGAGCAGCGGCTCTCCTGATCGTTCTAGCAGATAACAAAA